GTCTCCAGATGAAACAGAGCAATGCCAACCTAGTATTTATGTTTTCTTTACATCTTCACAGTTCCTGCTTGCCCTTTCTGTATTTGTTGACTACAAGAGTAGAAGGTTACAGCAGCAACACTTTGAGATGACATAGCTATGCAGTTCCCCATTTTCCAATTGCTGAAAATTAAGTCAAATAAACTACACAAAGACAAAGCATTTTTTTCTACATAATTGCCTCTTGCTTTTTATGAAAGCAGACTGGTGTGAGATATGAGATATTAAAATACTATAAATCAGTTTCCTTTATTTTGGCTGGAACAAAACACTCTCAAAAATTTCAGCCGTGCTTTGCCCAGCACTTAGCACAGTCTGTATGACCGTCAGTTATCAACAAGATTACCAAGCTGCACTCCTTCTCACTCCAGTCTGTTTTACCTATCAGCAATAAACATTATGATTTAGTACCTCCTGGCCTAGGAACTCCATTGCAAAGTAATAAATATCATCTTACTCACGGCTTGCATAAAATTTTAGTAAACACATTGCTACATATTTTGTAATTGGCACCATACATGATTCTGTTCTTTCAGTGTTACACTTGCATGTCTAGGGTTCTGAATGAAAACTTGAGAAATTACCTTAATTTTTACAATAAATAATTAGCAAGTATGCCCAAACATTTATGCGTATGCACACATTCTCTCATACTATATTTGGTAAGACCAAATCAAAATACCAGAAATCATCATTATCTTCAGCCAGGATGTTTTACATATGTTGTTTGTTCTCTTTCCCCAGAACAGTAGTGCTAAATGTCATAGGAGCAAAACCAACTCCCACACAACTTCAGAAAAACACTGTAGCTCTCTGAATTTCTTGGGAAGATTGAAGGAAACAGCTCAGCAAGGTTTGCACTCTAACAGCTGCATGAAGGAGAGAAAAAACCAACCCTCACCCCCCCGCAAAAGGAACACTATCTGGTGATGTTTTTCTGAGCCTTGGAAATCCTTCCTCTGTGTAAATTAGGCATTTATCACAGTGTTATATCATGATGAATTGCTTTTCTGAATTTCTTATTACAAGAGTAGAAAATAAGATCAGAAAAATAAACTTCGCAAACACTGACAACAGTAATTCAATTTTTTTTTTTAATTTTAACTAAATAAGAATGAGATAATCATTAAGAATAATCTACATGCCAGTCTAACATTCATCATTATTTCGAGTTTCACATTTCTATCACCAAAGTAAGCATGTTCCTTTCTTCTCCTGCTCTACTAGTTTTCAATATGCCATAAGGCAGCAAATAAACACCTGGTGCCACTTTATTGGCTTTAACCATCTGATCCATTGTGATTTTGGGGGTTAATTTCTATGCTAAGACTTTAATAATAACAATTCTAAAGAGAACAGAAGTATTTTCCTAAACTCCACAAACATATGAATCATTAAACAAACATCTCTGAATAAGGCACAACCCAGCAGGGCTGCTACACATCCACGCTTCCTTCAACATTAGCATTTTAATAGGTGATGACTGGTCTTAGCTTTAGGAATTCATATATATGCAGGCTACATGGCAGTGAGCAGCCTTCACTGCACATGAAAAGTGAACATGGTTTATCAAAGCAAAATTCTCTCTTGATGCTTTTCTTGGGAAATTAGGCAGAGAAAATTTTTAATCAATCTCAGTGGTGGCACCTCCTCCAGAAAGTATGACAAACCAAAACTAACCAGGATGCCATATGCCAAACTAAAAGACAAGAGTGTTAAAAGAAACAGAGGGGGAATAAAAAGAAGTTTTTCATTAGCAGAAAGCTTTAAAAAACTCTAAACACAGCACCCTCTTCCCCCAGAACAACTAAAAAACTCTATTAAAAAACTCACCTTACATGACACACACATGCCCATAAATTGAAACAGCTTTTGAACAAACACATAAATGCCTCATTTCCAAGTTTCCTTTATTAAGGGAGAGGGGAAAAGCGAACAAGAACAGATCTGAATTCTGTAAGCCACTGCCAGAAAACACACTGGGGCACAGTTTTATTCTGCCTACTTATCTCTCTCATCTTTATCTATGACCCCCTGAAGGCAGGCATTTGAAGACATGCTCAATTAATCCAATTAGCTATATTTACATTTTGACTCAGCCACCTACATCTGCTATGGCAGATACCCTAGTATTCCCTCCTGTGAAATCCACTTTATTTTCTTCTAAGTTTGCTCTAACAGCCTGTAGCTTTTCAGCTGTTGGGCACAGGTGGCTCCTAACATGTCTTAAATACCATCTCCAATTCACTTTAGTATTGCCTTGCAACAACTTTTGTGAGTAGAATTCAGTACAAGTACTTACAGAACATCAGCAAGTCCAAAAACTCTTAGAAAACAGTAGGAAAGAACCTAACTTTATTCTGCCTTAAGAAGGAGTTAACAGAAAAAAAAAGTTAAGTGCCAACAGTGCTTAGAATTTCCACAAAGCAAAGACTGCAAAATTATTTGGGATCGTGGCTCACAATATTCACAAAGAAAATGTGCAGAGAAAAACATAATGTGGGAACTACATCTTCTAAAAATCTCTTGATAATGAAAGCAAGAGGAAAGCATGGTTATTATCCATAACTAGAAAAGCAAGACAAGTCTATGGGCAAGGGCACCATGCAAAACGACAAGATTCTAAAACTCCACCCTACACACAGACATTTTTCTTTTAACATAAATCAAGTAAGTTAAACTAGTGGCTCATCTGCATATCAGAAGTGAAATTAAAACCTAACTTTTAATTGCTAACATGTAAATGTTAGTCTGGTTTAATTATACCAGTACAATAAAAATCACAGTGCTGTTTACTTTGGAACTTTTCCAGCTGCTGGCTAAACAATACTTACTTGGTTTGAAGGTTTTCCTTAAAGCTACATGCCTGTTAAAATTTTTCCTTCTTTCACCCCCCAACGGTAAATTTAACAGCTGTAACAACAGCTGGGCAGCTTAGCAACTGTAAAATACAGATGCCAATTTCTAGAAAAGAGCTTTCTAGTAAAAGAAAATAGGGTCTGTAGCAAGTGTTTGTGGACTCCCCAACTGTAAGATTTTGCTCTGTAACTTGGCCCCAGCTGGAGAGCTGACACACTGTGCTTTTGCTGAACTCACCAGGCAGATTTCAGATCCTGTCCCTCATTCAGTTTTGACAGAGAAAGGTCATTTTGCTGTTACAGAAAAAACAATGTTCTGCCATATTACTTTACTAATTATTTATGTTGGCTCATGTGCTCTTTTTAGTATTAACACTTACTAAAATATCAGACATTATTTAGATTTATTTAGATTATTTTAATATCAGACATTATTTAGAAATATGTTTAGTTTGTATCGTATCACCAAGATAAAACTGACTCTAAATTCTCTATATTTTATGCACAGATCACCCCACTTGAAACAGAATGATCTAACTAACATATGAAAGTAAGCCTTCTTGTACCAAAATCCTATCATGGTAGTGGTTTTAGTCATCAGAAAAGGAGGAGAAACAAACAACCCCAAATTTGTTCACAGTGGTCCTTAGGGGTCCTCTTAGCTTTCCCAAGTCATTCACAATTGGCATATGTTAGAGGAGTCTAAAAATGTCTCTAGATACTTTAAGTTCAGTTTTTTAGGATAAGAACATTTGCAGCTTCTGTTGACTTTAATTGCAGCTGTGAACATTAAGCTGTTCACAATATGCAGCCCACTTATTTCAACATTTAAATATAGGTTGTGTACCAGCCCAGAAGAATTGCTAATTGAAAACAGTGTTCTTGGTGCCAAAGTTAAAACTGAATGCTAGAAAGAATCAAACACTGCTTATTTCATTTGCTGTCATTATATTCCTCTTCTTCATCTCCACAACTCATGGAGAGTTTTTCAGAATGGTTCAGCCTATAAAGTAGCAGAGAGCAATATGCAAGGAAACTTCCTTCTGGAAAGAAAGATGACATGAGAGCATTATGAACATTATCAAACAAAATCAACAGACCTTCCTGGGAACAAAACAGGCAGAGATGCCAGGAAATGCAACAGAGAAATGAAGTTCTTAAAAAAAAAAAAAGTTAGAATTACAGCTGAAGTACCATGTACTGTCTTACTACAGGAACTAACATACCCTGCAAATAAGTACAGCAGTGACAGAAAAATATATGAAAAATGTTGGAAAAGATTTTATGACTTGAACACAACTATGCCAGGTTTTACTGTTTCAAAAACAGTCTTAAGAGTTTCAAAGCAGAAACAGGCTATGCCCAATTGATTGCAGAATAAAATAAAGTACTTAAACGTGTTTTACCATAAGTACAATAATTGATTGTGAAGGTATGAAAATGTAGTACTCTGAAAGTCCACTCAGAGAATCCTCGTCTTATTGCAAACATGCTGGCAAGGCACATGTTCTACTTCATGACACACACAGTAATGATCTGTTACAAGCAGTAATTGTTCCTGCACATGTACAAAAGCATATTGTGCTCTGCCCCCAGGAAGACAGCATGTGCTAGAAAGAGCAAAACCTGCAGCTGAACACTGTGAGTCTTAATAGGAACTGTAAGAAAGAGGATGAAGAAATTAATACTTACCACCCTGCACATTACCAGTACAAAAATGAATTCCCTGTGGCAGGAGAAGTATTCATAAATGTTAAATTCTCACCATATTTTCACATAATGCAATAGTTTCCAAACGTTTTGATCCTGCACCCCAACAGTAAAAGAAATTTTGAGCATGCACCCCAGTATACATATGTTTATTTATTTATAAATCATACACAAGCATGACAGAAGTTCTAGTGTTTTCTTCCTGCACATTAATGAGTCATCTCACACACATCACTTTGGAGACCACTGCTGTAGTGAACAGAAGAACAAATGGCAGCAAAACAAGCATCTGCCCCAGGTATTTGATGTGAATATCCATGCCAAAATCCCGTGGGCTCCAAGCTGGCTACTATAGCTAAGCTCTTCCTAATAGAAATAAAAAGTCAATCTTACCAGTGGTGGTGGTGGAGGGGGCCCTCCAGAAGGTGGTGGTGGAGGGGGCCCTCCAGAAGGTGGTGGTGGAGGGGGCCCTCCAGAGGGTGGCAGAGGTGGTGGAGGAGGAGGTGGTGGTGGCGGCACAGGCATCCGTTCAGATTTCTAGCTTCACACAACTATGAAAAATATAGCCAAAGTCTATGTCCTTGAGGAGAAGGAAGGGAGGAGAAAGAAAAGGGGGAAGAATAAAAAGAAAAAACAAAGAGGAATGTGTTTATACACTGCAAGCTGAAGATTGGCCAAATATCTAGCTCTCGGCAGACTGAAGACTTTTATACTGCACTGTTTCCAAAAATACAGTACGAACAGCCTCATTACAGTTATCTGATGACAACATTCATCTAAAGAGCAAGCTCATAGATCTGGACAAGTGCCATGAGTACCAAACACATAGATGCCAGCCTGTCCAACTTTAACTATTATGTCTTGCCTTAATCTAGCCCATAGCCCTAAAACGCAATTCCGCAGAGAACAAATCACAGCCGACCACATGTAGACACTCCTGCAGGGACAAAAACTCTGTTGACTTTTATGCCAGAGGTTTGCGGCTCTAACAACAGAGTAAGGAAATTTATAAGGTTCAGTGGACTTGCTCAGTGTTTAAAGAAAAAAAGAGAAAAAAAGAGGGACTCCCCCCAATGATTGAATAATAAATGAAGAAATTATTCTACAAATGAAAGCTTCGATTACCAAATTATAGCATGTAAGGACCAGACATTTCGAATCTGAAAATCACCCATGTTTTTCTTGCCATTTTAGGTGTTAACTTTTCACATTTCTTTAGTACACTGACAAAACAGACACATATATTCATAAAAAAGCTATATGCTTTTTTTTTGTTTTAAATCTCCTGCAGAATGACAGCGCATCACTCACTGATTTTCATCTCTAACCCAGCCCTCGGCGTGACTGCATCCCCTCTTAGTCATCTGTAAAGTTAACAAGCAACTCCTGTATTTCATCAGTAAAGTTGCAAGTGAAAGTCCTAGGCAGTGCCAAAGAGAGCTTTCTGCAAGCCATACTTGGTAAATTCTTTTGCTAGTGACTCTTGGACTCTTTGAATATGGTTTTACGTATAGTTTTACATCCATTGTGTCATGACTATCTTCTGAGACTCTTCATAATGTCATGTGAAACAGTGTCAAAAGCCCTAGAATAATGCAAAATATGACATCTGCTATATCTTTCCTTTCTGTAGGGCTTTATTTTAGCAAGAAATTACATTGGTTTGACAGATTTGCTCTTTACTCATCTCCGTAGATGAGAATTCATTTTCCTGTCTTCTCCAAGGATTTCAAAACATTTTTCTCATTTTGATGTTTTACTAGAAATTGATGTTAAGTTGAAAGGACCACAATTCCCAGGCCCTATTCCCCTCGTTTCTCCCTTCATTTTTTAAAGCATGCACTTCATGCTTATCCAGAATCACCAGTATAAGGAGGAGGTACAAAAGTTAAATCAAGAAAAGTTCAGCAGAGAAGACAACATAGAAATGAGGCAAGTTGCAGTCTTTAGGAGAATACCTGGCTGTTTTGTTAGAGGGATAGTTTGGAAGAGGCAATGAAGCTAAAATGCTCACTTCCTACTTAGTGTATGTGAACAATATCCAGACAATACCTGAGTATTTTTCTTCTGCTGTATCTTGTAAAATACTTTGTGGGAGATGAAACGTGGAGTCTATGAAACACTCGCTTCCTCCCTTGAGAGATTGCTATGCAAGGGACTAACATATCAAAGCACCCTGATCTTTAACAGAATTGGTTACAATCACTTTAATAACTGCTTAAGGAAACATTCCAAGAAAGCTGGCATCACAGTGTCTCCACCGTTCTACCATCGTTGTTGCCCTATTCAAAAATCCATTAACAGAAGATATCTCTTTTCCTCAGTTAAGCCATTCAAAAACAGACATAAGGAGAATGAGTCTTCCCAGCTAATAATATGTTTCGGGTTAGTATCTTCCTACCCTGCAATACAGGCCTTTTGTCTTCATTAAGGATTTAGAATGGGAAATATGCTCCTAGTCAAATTAGAAAAAAAAATACAACCCACGCTTCTGTGGCAGACCACATGCATGGCAGCAGGAGGTAAAGCACACTGGAGGCAAGCAGCCGTGAGAGAAAGGAAATGGGAATCAGATCTTGGTATTTAGAAGTCACAATCTGAAATGCCATCAGGTGACTTTTCTAGCTGCCTCTCCACCAGTCCTTGCCCCAGCACCCATTCCTCCAAACCATGCAGCCTAAATTCCAGGACTAGAAACTGTGTGACCATCTATTCAGTGCAGAGGAACTGTTCACCGTGTATCCCACTCCCATATCCTGAATCCTCCTGTCCAGTGACAGCAAGAAAAAATGCATTTCAGGGAGCAGTAAAAAGCAGGCCTCGAATGAAATGCTCTAGACACCATAGAGATTTCCTCCCATGCTGTTTCAAATCCTCTACAAATGAACTATCTTTCAGAAAATTCTGCATATGTGCCTTCTTTTGTCTCTTACCACAAATTCGGAGGCTTGATGTCCTGACCTTGGCATGCTTTTGTGCACACAGGCGAAGTCATGCTTTATATACCACAACTGTTACAGGGTATTGCCTACACAATGAAGAACCATTTTCCACATAAGGGCTCTCTTTGTTCAAGTGGGCTTTGAAAGGAGTGCTGCCACTCTCAGAAGTAGACACTGTATGTCAATAAAGGTAGGCATCTTCAAGCTAACTTACGAGAAAAAACAACTGACTCTTAGGATTTAGTCATAACTGCACGATCTACAATTTTTAATATGTAGGATTTGCTGTGAGAACCTCTTTTGTATTACTGCAGCTATCTCAAGTGGTTTGTATTGAAAGAAAATTATGGAGAAGACTGCAACACTTTCAGTATATCAACACACATTACTTGGAGGCCTTTGTTCCTTGGTTAAAGGCCGTATTTCATTTGCCTCTCCCCTCATTCTGTTGGCAATTTCACACAATAACTTTAGAACATGCTGAGGTTATGGATTTGCACATTATAAGCTAAATAAATTCTGAATTAAAAAAAAGAAAGGAATATCATATTGATCAGTTCTAATGTCTGATAAGAGCCAGACAAGAGGGAAATGTCAAAAAAGATCCTTAAGGCAATGTGCTCTTTCTCCACTGCTCTAAATATACATATTTATGATTGGAAGAGCAGGATCTGAACTATCCCTGAGGGACAGAAATAAAAAGATACAGTTTCAAAAGCTGGCAACAGGTGGAAGGGAGAAACCTATGTGTTTAGCCTCAGTTTGCTAAGACAAGAAGCAATGTAAATCTTAGCTTGACTTAAACATCATAGAACAGAATCAGGCCCAACAATTGCAGAATTTATTGCAAAAAAAAGAAGAAAATCCCAAACCCTGCCTTTTCTAGTCCACCTCCCTACAAAAGCAAGGTTGTACACTTTTTTTTAGTGCTTTCTGAAGTCTAATTTTAGGTGTCCCAAATAATGTGGCTTGTATTATTTCCCTTGGGAAGCTCTTTCACAGTCAAATAACTCTTAGTTCATAATGCCTGACACACAGCCTAATTTCTTCTTCTCTCAGTTTGATCCCATTTGCACTCCACTGCAGATGATTCTACATTGTTCTAAGCAAAATGGTTTCTCCTACTCCTCAGCATCAGCTTTGTGGAATATAAGAACTGTAATTCAGAAATACATTTACAAGGACTTGTTATAGTTTTTGAGATGTTTTAGTTCTCACAAGTCAGTGAACTTCTCATCAGTCAGCAAATATTCTTACTATTCTCTGATCTCAAAACAGCTGGTCTTCTTTTGTTCTATTGGTAAGGATAATTCTAAAACTGGTAATTTCAAGCATCACAGATCGTTTCTTGCATGTTCACACAGTCCTTGTTTGAATAACAGCTGGGTTTAAGAAACACAGCGCAGTCCTCAATGTAGAACCCAAGGGCCTGATTTCTATAGGCCCAAATAAAGTCTCCACCCAGACAATAATTTTGAAGGGTCAGACAAGACATAGGAGGTGTAGATCTTTCTTCATGGACTGCTCTCAAGTCTTGTGCTGGATTTACCTGTGGGAAACACAAAACCTCTTTCTAAGCTTTTCTGTAGATTTGGTCTCGTTTTACCCAGCTACCAGATGTACATAAGCTCTGATCCAAGCACTTCCCAAAGGTCTCCTCCTGAAGTATCACTGCCACAACCCCAGTCCTGGGCTCACACTAAGACAAAGTCCTGCTGGGAGCACAGAGCCGCACTAAGAAACACTGGTTTTTGGACAGCAGCTCACATGTCTCCTGCCACAGTGACACTCAGCAGAACCACCATAGGTCTGCCTGCAAAAACTATTCTAAAATACCTTTACCCATCGTGGAAAGTGAAGACATGAAACAGCTGTATCTTCAATTTATTACAATGTATAAATGGGGAAAAGACAGAGGAAAAAACTAAAACCCAATTATACACAAAAATTAAACACAAAAATGCATTTATACACAAAATTAACTAGTAGCATTTTTTAGATTAGTAAAGTCGTTAGGTCTCTAGGTGGTATAGTCAATAGCACAAAACAACACACAGTTGGAACTGAAAATGGGACCCTTTTAATCAATTTAGAGAAAGGACTGTAAAATAATTGATTCATTATTACTGGATTTGCAATCACTGCAGCTGCACACCCTGAGGTAGGTATTACAGCTTTGGGGAAATGTACAGACTTTCTCCCTTCAAAGTGAAGGCTGGTGTAGATATTTCAAAGGTGTGCAGGAAAGCTTATCTGTTGGTCTTATTTTCTTGATTAAAAACTGAAGGTAAAAAGTAGACCACAAACTCTGGTTTTATCTTTTAACCAGTTTTTATATAAACAAATATGATTTCTTCATTAACAGTACTGTTTGGAGATATAGCTTTTAAGTCCTTGCATTTTAACAGAAAACTAAAATAATTTCAAAATTACATGTGAAAAAACAGCATCAATAAGCATCTGCTTCACTTTCATGACTTGAAAAGTAGACAGCTAACCTAACCGTGTCCCTATTTGCTCCTGTGAAATGTCACTGAGTAAAAGTTGAAATCAGTGGTATGAGCACTCCACAGGTCTTTTAAAGACAGTACAACACCTGATACAGAGAAGAGAAAAAGCCCAGAACAATAGATGTGTG